CCCCCCGGCTTTTTTTTTTTTTAAGTATTTTTTGGGCCAGCCAGTGCCATGATGGTTAAGATAGTGGATCCCTGCGTCCCCACAGGGGCTGAACTAACAGATGACATAATGGTTACGTCGCTGCACTCCCTTGTAGTCAACCACATTCAAGTCCCAGATCTGGCAGCTTAAAACTCAGGCAGGGTACGTGTGCACAAATCCCAAGAGGAGAATGGAGGAGAAGGGACCGCAGCATAGCCATCCCTTCTGCAGGGTGATTTCTTACTTTCTGTCTCTCTCTGTTTCTCCAGTGAGTGCACACACCCTGTAGGAAAAATCTCTCTTGAAAAAAAAAGAAAGATATGGACCCCGCATGGCTGGCTGTGTGGTTCAATTCTGGACCCAGTGGATTGAAAAATACTCTGAACATGTGTGCGTGTGCACCTAAAGTCTTGTGAGGAGAATGGAGAAGAAGGGACTGTGGCCTGGCCATCCCCCCAACCCAAGTACGCCTTCTCACCTTCCTGTCTCTGTCTCTCTCCTGCAAGTGCGTGTTCCCTACAGCAAATTTTAGAAATCGATACATTTAAAAATTATTGATTTTTATTTAGAATAAAGAGCACACGTGCATGCACAAGAGAGAAAGAGAAGAAGTACCCCTTGGCGGGGCCTGGCCAGGCCACAACCCTTCATCTTTCCATTCTCCCCGTCAGGGTCCTGGGCACATCTTTGCTGAAGACCTGGGTTTGCTAGAGAAAACCCGAGGAGGGTTTTGCTTCGTTGCTAATTTGTGCTTTCCCACTAAGCCCTAAGCTCTTGTAGCTCGAGTGCTAACATTGTCGTGTGGGTTTGGACATCCTGCAAAGTGCTCGGAGGTCTGAATTCAAGTCCAGTCTGCTCCACATGTTAGCTGCTGTGTTTGGGTGTGTTTCTTAAACAGGGCACATCGGATTCCTCATCCACGTTAAGGAAAGAACAGCACCTCCACCGACGGGTATTCCGAAGATGAAATGAATCGCTACAAGTAAAGCGCTTAGAACAGACGTGGACTAGGAGCTGTCAATATTGCGAGCGGTCCCTATCATTTTTAAATTGTATTTATCATTATTTTATTTTATTTTTTTAGTTTGCTACAGGGCTTATGCACTCACCAGAGAGAAAAATAGACAAGGGGAGGGGGCAGGAAGTGAGAAAGCAAGTCACCAGGTCCAGGACTGAGACCGCAGTCGGCCTTGCGGGAATCCAGCACCTTAACCACCACGCCGCCTGCTGGCCCCTGTCACTGTCATTCTTGCTGAAGAAGAAGCCTAGGGAATTAAAAGGCCTTATCCTAACTTAACCATTTATTTGATCTGTGACCTTAGACATCTGAACCCAAAGCTCTCCGTTTCTTCTTGCCTAGTATTAAGATACGGGCAGTGTCAGGTGTGCCCACCTCGCAGAGCGGCAGTGAGGCCTGAGTGAGCTAACAGCTGTGAAAATGGTTGGTAAATGACGGCAGGTTGTACGAGGCTGGGTCATGGGTCTGTCTCTGCTCGCCCACACCTGTAACATCACACATGCCGTGTACCACGGCCTTACTTCCCCGGCTCCTCTGAGGTGTGAGCCCGTTCAGGAAGCTCCCTATCTCGCTCTCTCCAGCATCGGCCAGGATGTCTGACTTGAGGCTGCTCATGGCCTAAACTCTGTACCTGGGAAGCTGAAGAGCAGTACCTGGTGTGCCTCTCTGCTGCGAGTTCCAGTGCATGCCCCCCGGACGCACCCCCATCAGATGTCACATCCCGGGGGGTGCGACCCTGAGCAGCATCTGCAGAAACCACCAGTCCCACAGCCGGGCGCTCATGCACGGGTGCTCAGTGTGGGGATGCCGTGCTATCCTCTGCTCCTGGGAGCCCTCCTGCTCTGACTCCCTGTGTGTCCCAGCAGCCCTCCAAACTCACGAGGCCTCCCAGCTAGGACTAGTGGAGACCGGAATGCCCAGTCTAAGGTGCCCTGGGTAGTCCAAACCAGGGAGGCTGAGAAATTAAACCTCTCCACTTTTAGTGGCCTCAAGGCTTTGTTTTCTTTCCTCCCATTCTGACATCTTCCCGAGGTGACACCTCTGTCCTTGTGTCCCTGCTCTCGACTTCAGTATCTTCCCTGGAGCGGTGGGGGTGCACCTCGGGGGATAGCATCCACCTCACAGTACCGTGGACAAGGAGAATTCAAGAGGTCCTGAACAATCTGAATTGAAGTCCAAGTTTATTTTGCTGTAGAAAAGTGTTGGGAATCCACAGTTTTTGGTTTTTTTTCTTCTTCACAATATGCATCGTCCGTGAGCTTTTTGCAGGACCTCCCCCCCCCCGCCCCCTTGTCTCTATGTACTTCATGATTACCCACCTAATACTGCACTCAGAGGTAGCTCCAGAGACACACTTGCTGACTGGGATTTACAGGACTAAGGAACCCGAAATGAGTAGACTCCACGGGAGAAGAACTGCCCAGGAGGCGGGCTGTAGCAGAGCTAGATTTTTTTGGAACCCCTGGCTGCCTTCACATTTCCTGGTGGAAATGGGACAGGTCAACAGACAACCCAGCGCCGCAGATAAGTTTTGCCCACACATGATCCACTTTTTGCAACGTTGGCTTGAACTCGAGGGGTGTGTGAGTGTGTGTGCATGTGTGCGTGCGTGTGCGTGTGTGTGTGTAGCTGACGTGCCTCCGTGGGCCTCAGAGGTCTCGGCACTTTCTTCAAATGGGCTGATTACAACATAGAGGATGTGGACAGGGGAGTTTTTCCTGTTTGATGTCATACTGCTACCCTTTAAAAGTCCAGGGGGGGAAAGGAGGAATCCAGCCTAGGACCCTCACACCGGCCACTTGCAAGGAAGAAGTGGGAAAAGCCCGCAAGGCACAGGCCCACAGTGAGGGCAGGAGTGTCAGGTTTCAAACTCAGCACCAGCCACTCAGAGCGCAGCGATGCTACGGACCCGCCTCGGGCTGTGGGTCTGTGTCCTCTGCAGCGTCTGCAGCCTGGGCCTGGTCAGAGCCTACCCCAACACCTCGCCTCTGCTCGGCACCAGCTGGGGCGGCCTGACACACCTGTACACAGCCACAGCCAGGAACAGCTACCACCTGCAGATCCACAAGGACGGCCGCGTGGATGGCACACCTCAGCAGACCGTCTACAGTGAGTACGGGCTTCCGCTGGGGCGAGGGGAGCGCTCCTGCTGTCCACCCACGGGGGCACGAGGAGACCTCAGGGTAGGCCAGAGGGCTAACCCAGCTTCCAGCTCAGGAGCATGTGTGTGCACGCATGTACGTGTGTGTGTGTGTGTGTGTGTGTGTGTTTAAACTCTACGGGACGATTCTGCCACCTCCCTAATTAGTATTTGTACTTCATGATTACCCACCTAATACTGCACTCAGAGGTAGCTCCAGAGACACACTTGCTGACTGGGATTTACAGGACTAAGGAACCCGAAATGAGTAGACTCCACGGGAGAAGAACTGCCCAGGAGGCGGGCTGTAGCAGAGCTAGATTTTTTTGGAACCCCTGGCTGCCTTCACATTTCCTGGTGGAAATGGGACAGGTCAACAGACAACCCAGCGCCGCAGATAAGTTTTGCCCACACATGATCCACTTTTTGCAACGTTGGCTTGAACTCGAGGGGTGTGTGAGTGTGTGTGCATGTGTGCGTGCGTGTGCGTGTGTGTGTGTAGCTGACGTGCCTCCGTGGGCCTCAGAGGTCTCGGCACTTTCTTCAAATGGGCTGATTACAACATAGAGGATGTGGACAGGGGAGTTTTTCCTGTTTGATGTCATACTGCTACCCTTTAAAAGTCCAGGGGGGGAAAGGAGGAATCCAGCCTAGGACCCTCACACCGGCCACTTGCAAGGAAGAAGTGGGAAAAGCCCGCAAGGCACAGGCCCACAGTGAGGGCAGGAGTGTCAGGTTTCAAACTCAGCACCAGCCACTCAGAGCGCAGCGATGCTACGGACCCGCCTCGGGCTGTGGGTCTGTGTCCTCTGCAGCGTCTGCAGCCTGGGCCTGGTCAGAGCCTACCCCAACACCTCGCCTCTGCTCGGCACCAGCTGGGGCGGCCTGACACACCTGTACACAGCCACAGCCAGGAACAGCTACCACCTGCAGATCCACAAGGACGGCCGCGTGGATGGCACACCTCAGCAGACCGTCTACAGTGAGTACGGGCTTCCGCTGGGGCGAGGGGAGCGCTCCTGCTGTCCACCCACGGGGGCACGAGGAGACCTCAGGGTAGGCCAGAGGGCTAACCCAGCTTCCAGCTCAGGAGCATGTGTGTGCACGCATGTACGTGTGTGTGTGTGTGTGTGTGTGTGTGTTTAACAATAGGATGGCGATTCTGCCACCTCCCTAATTAGTATTTTCTGATTTCTCTCAACTCAAATAATTTGTCTGAACCAAAAATCCTCTTCCCACAATAGGAGCCACTTGGCTTTTGCCCTGTTCAAGGGCTCCAAAAATGTACAGAAATTTCTTTCTGGTTTAAAGTCTAGGAAGAAAGGTGGCCAGACAGAACCAGTAGACACCGAGTTTAGGTTATGAGCGTTTGGATTGGGCTAGCCAGGGAAGAGGTAAAGGAGATTCCTAAATGATTCCAAGGATTGCAAGAGGTTAATTTAGAAGCTTTTTCTATTCCGAGGTGCTAGTTTTCTGGCAGTATAAAAACTCTCCTGAAAACATATTAAAGGTAGACTGTCCAGCCAGGTATGTGTTTCGGAGTGTCTGACCAAGGGTGCCCAGTGTGGGTGGGGATCCTCCTCTGTGGGGCTGAAAGGTGACCCATCAGGAGCAAGCCAGGCCAGCTGGGATCTCATTAGCAACATGAGACAGCTAGGATGTCTTCATAGATTAGGTTTGGAAAAGTCAGAGCGCAAGCTACTGTAGCAATTAGCTCTGATTCAAAGGAGGCCCCTTCCTGAGCTCAGTGTAAGGGGAAATGGGGTGAGAGCCAAGACAGGTGTCGAAAAGAGATACACATTCTACTCTAAGAGAAAGTGTAAACATTACTCTTACTCTAAAGATGCAGGGAAGTGCAAACTGATCCAAAACGGACCAACTCACAATAAACCAGTAATCACAGTCTCTATCTAACTGAAGAAAGGTTCTCATAGGAATTAGGATGTGCCTGGAGTGCTGTAATCAACAGTCATTTCGCTGTGTGCAGGCATTCTCCTAAGAGTCTAAGATCCAGAGCCAAGACAGGTGTCGAAAAGAGATACACATTCTACTCTAAGAGAAAGTGTAAACATTACTCTAAAGATGCAGGGAAGTGCAAACTGATCCAAAACGGACCAACTCACAATAAACCAGTAATCACAGTCTCTATCTAACTGAAGAAAGGTTCTCATAGGAATTAGGATGTGCCTGGAGTGCTGTAATCAACAGTCATTTCGCTGTGTGCAGGCATTCTCCTAAGAGTCTAAGATCCTTAAACCTGGGAGCTTGAAAGTAACAGTTCGAACCTCTTCATGTGCTCAGTGGGTGTTGACAGGGAATGAAAGGAGAGAGAAAAGTTTTCTCCAAACCAAACAGGTTCCAGAACTCAAGGGGATATAGCAAGGCCCAGGGGCCAACGTCATGGAAGCCCAGTTTGACTCTAATGGCAAAGATCTGGAATAAATCTGTATATGCCTGCTCCATCCACAATGTCACTCATCTCAGTCAACAGATATTTAATAGGAGCTCAACTGGGCCTGGAATAAAAGAGCCTGCAAGGACTCCATGCCTTGTACCCTTTCTTGTCCCCTAGTCATTAGCAGATATTTAGGAAATACAATTTTGTATCTGTCATTGAGGGCCACCCTGACTTCCACTGCAAGATTATAAAGAGGTCATCAAACAGCTCATGGAAAATGGAGTTAAACTACAAGTTTATTTCGATGCAAATAAAGAAAGAAAAAAGGAAAGCCAAACTTGCCTAGAATCATGAGATCTCTTTGCTGCAAGGAATTCCCCCCTCAGACATGTTCCCCTAAACAAGAAACAGAGTAGAAGGCAGGGCCTTTAGCCTTAGTAATCAAGAGATCTGAAGCCACATGGCCCTCCGTGGTTGGAAGCCTGGCCTGGCAGGTTAAGGCATGCACTGGGTATATGTGCGTGCATGCCCCAAATCCCAATAGGATGGAGAGGTGGAGAAGGGATTACAGAGTGACTATGTCCCATGGGGGTGGCTTCTCCCACTCCCTCTCTCTGTCTCTGTGTCTCTTGCAAATCCAAGTGCCCTCTGGCACTTAAAAAGAAGAGAGATAAAGAAGAAAAGAAGGAAGGATAGAAAGAATAAAGAACAAGAAAGAGAAAGAAATGGAAAAGAAAGAAAGAAGGAAGGAAGAAAAAGAGAAGAAAGAAAAGAAGGAAGGGAGGGAGGGAGGGAGGGAGGGAGGGAGGAAGGAAGGAAGGAAGGAAGGAAGGAAGGAAAGTGCAGGCTGGCTGGGGTGGGCAGAGTCGAGGAGCTCAGCCTACACAGTGGGCGGCCTGAGTGGGAGACCTCTTCCCTCCAGCGCCCACCCAGCATCGGCCCAGAGGATGCACTGAGCAGCAGTGAGAGTGAACTGAAATGTCTGAGAAGCAGCAAAATAAACTGAACCGACTTCAACTTGTTCTCCATAGAAATGTGATTTTGTTAGGTCTATGGACACCAGCAAAGCTTGTGTCTTTGGGAAGATGCACCCCAACCTGGGGAAGAAAACACGGATCAGGGTCAGAGACCTATGTTTCCTAGCTTACATTATCTTTTGTAGTCTTTAGTTATCATGTGTATTACAAAAAAAAAAGAAAGGAAGGAAGGAAAAAAGTATATACTAAGATGAGAAGAACCCAAAAGTTACCAAAGTAGGCGAGAAACGAAGCATGTAGCTAGGGAGCACAGGGAACAGAGCCTGGGAAGGTCTGCAGTTCCCTCAACAATGAATGTAAAGAACGCTTTTACACTGGTGGGAAAGGGTCAGTGGGTGGTTCTTTCCCTCCTGACTAATTGCACATTACCAGGGAAATCTGGTTCGTGGGATCATGTTGCTTCAACACATTTTTGATGGAAGTTAGGTATCCAAATCACTTTGGGTTGTTCATCTTGACAAAGAGATTCTATGCGACTCTGAGCTCCCCCGGGACTCAAAGCTCTGCGGTCAGAGCCTTCCCCACGCCCGAATCACCGGCTCTCCTGGGAACAAGACCATCTTCCACTCCCCACATCCTCGTTTCATGGAAACAGCCGAAAAAAGACATCTATTTTCCTGGTTACCACCGCTTTCTAGATCCTGGTATTTTTTTACTCCCTCCCTCTTCCCCATTGGAAATGAGCTGCGTTTGAATCGTGCTTTAGTTTCCTTACTCACAATCTGGGCTGCTGCTGCTGCTACTAACTTAGAAGACAACAGCTTAAAACCTGGCATGGAACATAATTTTTTCCAATTAGACCAAATCAGGAAGGGGACAAAAACTACTTCTTACACATTCCTTGTGTTTCTTTAGGATTAACCACAAAATGAGCCATGAACTGAGGCGCCTTAGGTGGACCCCATTTCGGGGAATTTCACCATCTGCTGCACTAGGTACACATACCCCACGCCACTTCCTTTCTCTTCTTTAAGATTTCTTGCCCTAGGACATGAGTACTTGCCAGAGGAAGACTGAGACAGAGAAAGGGAAAGTGAGAAATCACCCCCAGGGTGGATGGCCACACCACAATCCCTTCTCTTCCTTTCTCCTCTTGGGATTTTGGGCATGCACACACATGTGCCCAGAATGAGTTTCAATCTGCCAGGTCCAGGACTTGAACCTCAACTGACTATGTGAAAGTCCAGCGCTTTAACCACCATGCCAAATGCTGGCCACAACCAAAGTCACCTTCCAGAAGTTTCCTTCAGGGTTAACACACAGCCAGACTTTGAAACTAAGGAATTAGTTCTCTTTGTTTTTTTTTCCCTCTTCTTTTCGGGCTTGCTTCCACCCCCGTGCTCTCTGTCCCACCTCATGTCAGCCTCAGGACATTTCTGGCTCTGTACTCAGCTAGTGTCTAGTTATTGCCTGCCCCTGTCCTCGGAGGGCTTCACATCGAGCCTGCGCAGAGTCAGAGAGGAGCTGCATCCACAGTCTCTCCAAGCTGCCTTTTACAGAGGAGGGATGAGAACCCGACTGCGCTGCCTCACTGGTGGCTGGGAGGTAAAATGAGGTGCATGTGCAAACTCTGCAGTAGGCAAACGGAAACGGCCCCCAAAACCTACAGAATGATTTTTACAGAAATGTCAGGAAATTAGACAGCATCTAGGGCAAAAGCCTCTGGAATCAGTACTCCTGTTCTATCAATTTCTTATCTAATCACCCCTTGCCACAAAACAGAAAGCTTTGGGACCAGTAGGTGGCGTGGTGGTTAAGGCGCTGGATACTCCCACATGGCCCACCAGGGTTCAAATCCCTGGACCTGGTGGCTAGCTTTCTCACTTTCCCTTTCTCTATCTCTTTCTCTCTCTGGTCAAATTAAAAATAAGTGAATAAATAAATAATAAATAATTATTTTTTAAAAAGCAAATTACTTAAAAAAAAAAAAAAGACAAAAAACAGAAAGCTTCGGGCTTTATTTATGTAACTAATCACTGTTACCTGTTGAAATGCCTGTCTTCCAGGGCTGACACATAAAGCTGCTGTCTGTTATAGGTGGTGTAGGCAGGTAGTGCGGATGGGTTTCAAACCCGCATTGGAGACTGATTGCTGAGAAAGGACATGGAAAGACCCTGAGGGACTGCACCTGGAGGGCACCATGGAGTGAGAAAAGGGCAAAGGACACAGTGGCAAAGACCCAGAAAGAAGAATGCCACCCTCCCCGGTACCCATCGGTGTAAGAAACACCCCCTCTGCTCCAAGGTGGCTCACTGTAAAAAAGGCACCAGCTTTGCAGCTTACGTGTGGCATGTGCTACAGCAGACGGGCGGGCATCGGGCTGAGGCTGAGGAGGGAGCGAGCCACTCTGATTACGGAGACAGTGACATACAGCAGACGGGTGGGCATCAGGCTGAGGCTGAGGAGGGAACGAGCCACTCTGATTACGGAGACAGTGACATCTGAGCCTGCCCTTGGAGGATGAGAGTCTGCAGTGAGTGGACAAGGGAGACGGGGATCAACAGCAATGCAGTCTGGACACGCAGTGGGTTATGCAGCCGTCTGGGTGGAGAATCAGTCTGCTTTTGTCATTGCTGAGGGCAGGGGGAAGAGAGAGTCCACCCACAATGGACCACGATCACGCTGTTGTACAATCTCCTTTTCTCTATTCCTCTACCCAGTCAAAATTTGGGGCATGTATGTCCACATGCCTGGTGTGTTTTTCAAGCCACCAGGGCCAGGATTTCAACCCTAGTTGGTCGTAGGTGATCTGGGTTTCAATGAACAGTGCTCAACCGCTGTGCTAGGGGACAGCCCGCAAGGGGGACTCTTCATGTGTACAAGCTGGAGCCTTGAGAGACGTCTCAGTATATTGGGTTGTCAGAAAAGGGTTTTTTTCTATGTTTTCCTATGGAAAAATGCATCGTGACTTTTCTGACAACCCAATAGATGGAAAAATCACCAAAGCAGAGACTCGGAAAATGTGACCATTACCTTAAGCGATGAGTATTAACCAAGGAAAAGTCAGCACTACGGGCAGTCCGGGCGGAGAGGGGAGCACGCCACGCACGGGTAGGAGGAGGCTGGGGGTCGGGGAGCCCACAGAGGCAAGGGCGTGGACAGGAAGAGGCGTGGCTGGTGGGGACGGTCTGGAGAAACGAGGCTGCAGAGCGGAAAGGAAGCCCGGGGTGGAGTCGTCCCCACCTGACATCAGTCCCAGAGAGTGGCGTCCAGGGGTGCCTGGAGGTGCCTGCACAGCAGGTCCTTGACCTGGCTGGTCTCCTCCGCAGGTGCCCTGCTGATCAGGCCGGAGGAGGCTGGCTTCGCGGTGATCACGGGCGTGATGAGCAGGAGATACCTCTGCATGGATTTCAGGGGCAACATTTTCGGATCAGTGAGTTTCTTTTTGTGTTGCTCTCAAACAATGTACTAGTTTCTTTTCTTTTCTTTTCTTTTTTTTTTTTGGAGAGGTTTTCGCTCTAGGGCGCGTGCGCCAGACAGACAGAGACAGAGAGACAGAAAGCGAGAAATCACCCCCCAGGGGGATGGCCACGCCACAATCCCTTCTCCTCCATTCTCCTCTCGGGATCTTGGGCACGCACGCACACACGCCCGGGGTGAGTTCTAAGCCACTGGGTCCAGGACGAGAACCGCGGTCAACTACGTGGGAGTCCAGCAACATAGCCATTATGCCACTGCTGGTCCCCAAACAATGTACTAATTTCTTCACAGAACTTAGACCTTTCTATCTTCAAGTTTCTCTTTTTTTCGAACAAAATTTTTTTGAGAGATTCATGCTATAGGGTGCATTAACTCACCCGAGAGACAGAAAAAGTGAGAAATCACCCCTCCAGGGGGGACGGCTACACTGCAGTCCCTTCTCATCCATTCTGCTCTTGGGATTTGGGGCACACACACCCGGCGTGAGATGTTTACATCACCGGGTCTGGGACTCGAACCATGGCCAACTACATGGGAGTCCAGCAGCACCTCCTGGTCCCAGAGTTTCTCTTTGCCGTGTATGTAGGTGAGTACTCACGGAGTACTCCAATTCAGTCCACGTGTTAAACATGGCTAGAACTGAGCCTTGGCCGCCTGCCATTGGACCTCACTTAGGGATCTAGCACTGTACCAGGTTTGCAGTCAGAGGTCCTTGAAGCGCATCAATTCATGTTGTAAAGTACATTAGAAGGGTGAGGAGTCATTGGTTTCTTCTTGATTCTGTTACCAGTCGTGACCTCGAGCCAGTCCCCTCACTTGTCCAAACTCCAGTTTCTTCCCCTGGGAACAGTGAGCTGGAAGGGACGCCCTCTCCTGTGGAGCTGCCTCCAGTTAAAGATTCCTAACTGTGCCCAGCGGGGACACCTGGTCACGCGCACTGACCAGCAGAGGGTTTCCCAACTAAAGGCCGCTGGCATTCCGAGACACTGAAACAGTAACACTACTTTTCTGGGCTGGGGGGGGGCCTGGGGGGGGGGGTGTCTCCTAGCAGAAGGGCCCTGAGGACAGAGGCTTTTTGCTGGGTCTCAGCACCTACAGTGAATGGGCTAGAGCAGACACACCTGTTTAGAGATGGGCTGATAATGAACTAAATTAATAATAGGTAACTAACTGAAAGTCTGTTGAACACATCAAGGCGTATACATCCCGTCTAGAAAACACTCACTTGCTGGGACCAGCAGTTAGCGTAATGGCTATGTCGCTGGACTCCCACATAGTCGACCGCGGTTTGTGTCCCGGACCCGGTGGTTTAAAACTCAAGGGATTGCGTGGGATTGCGTGTGGCCTGGCCATCCCCAGGGGGGAGGGGGGGTGACTTCTCCCTTTCTGTCTCTCTGTCTCTCTGTCTCTCTATAGCAAAAACCTCTCCAAAAAAAAAAACACTCACTTGCAGAATTTGAGAATTAAACGAAGTAATATGTGAAGGTCTTAGGAGCACGGGATCGAACCCAGCACCCTGGCCGAGTGCAAAGCCGCCCATCAGTGCTCTCCCCTACTGACCCCACAGGCTCCTGTGGGCTCCTCTCACCAGGTGGAGAGGGGCCCGACCCAGGCCAAGCCAACTTTCAGCCAGAAGAGGGCAGCGCGGGAAGGACGTTGCTGCATTTAAATGAAGTTTCCCTCTGGAACCTGAACCAGAGGGCTCCCGGGGCTCTCCAGGCCTGGCCAAGCAAGCCAGGGGCCAGGCAGGCCCAGGTCTGCGGGCGCGGGGATGAAGCCCTAGGGGCCGCCACTCCCTGAAAGGTGCCTGAGCCCTGGAGGGAACCAAGGGACAGGCCACCCCTGGCAGACGGTGGGAGGACTCAATGCACACCTGGCCTTGGCCCGGAGGAGGCTGGGCGGGCCTGGGCCTCACGCTCCTGTCGCCCCTGCAGCACCTCTTCAGCCCGGAGAGCTGCAGGTTCCGGCAGCGCGCCCTGGAGAACGGCTACGACGTCTACCACCACCCGCAGCACCACTTCCTGGTCAGCCTGGGCCGGCCCAAGAGGGCCTTCGTGCCAGGCACGAACCCGCCCCCCTACTCCCAGTTCCTGGCCCGGAAGAACGAGATCCCGCTCATCCACTTCAACACCCCGAAGCCGCGGCGGCACACCCGCAGCGCAGAGGACAACTCGGGTCGCGACCCGCTGAACGTGCTGAAGCCCCGGCCGCGCATGACCCCGGCGCCCGCCTCCTGCTCACAGGAGCTCCCGAGTGCCGAGGACAACAGCGTGGTGGCCAGCGACCCCCTGGGAGTGCTCAGGGGCAACAGGGTGAACACGCACGCGGGCGGGCTGGGCGTGGACCGCTGCCGCCCCTTCCCCAGGTTTATCTAGGCAAGCGCCCGGCGTCTTCCCCAGCCCGCCTCTCGGCAAGCTTTCACCGGCCAGCAGTCTTTATGCTCCAGGGAAAAGGGCTGGGGCGATGCCTGCAATCAGCTGCTTCTCTCCGTTGCCTCCCCCAGGAGGTCCCCCGAGATTCAGCCTTTGGGGCCTGAGTATCTGGGTTTCACTACGTTCCCTGCTCCCCGTATTCCACCTTTCTGAATAAGAAACCCCAACAGGTAAACAAGAAATTCCTCCTTTATTAAGAGGGAGAAAAGGAATGTTTTCCTATATTTCTCTTCTCTGTGTCTTTCTTTGTAATTAAAAGCAGCAGCAGCTTTAATGAGTTCACTAGGAAGGTGTAGCGAAGAGGCCGCCCAGAGGTTTCTCCTTTGCTGTGTGTCCGCATTCCCTGCAGGATCCGTTGGCATCTGAGTTTGTAAGGTACCATGAACAAAAAGACTAGTGGTAGGCTGGTGGGAACTTGACTAGGAGAATGCTGGGTAAACGGAGGTAGAAGACCCGCCTCCCTGCAGGGTGGGCTCCCTTTGCCTCACACTCCCTCCCAGCAGCTGGAGCCCAAGGACCCAGAAGGACCCTGCTCCCTTCCAAGTGGCTTGTGACACAGCCTCACCCCTCAGATGCACCTTTGGCTTTAGAGGAATAGCTCTAGTATCCACTTGTGAGAACCTACCCTGCCCAGGATTTGGTTTTTAAAATGGAAGTAAAGGACTGGCCCTGTTGCCTAGTGGTTAAGGGAGCCAGCTCCAACGTGGCTGACTGCAGTTTGAATCCTCTCCCCAGTAGCTTGAAAACTATGCTGGCACATGTACATGCATGCCCAAAGTTGGAAGAAGTGGAAGGGAACTGTGGGACCGAGTCCCATGGTGGGGTGTGCTCTCTGGCAAGAGCACATCCTCTGGCTCACTAAAAAAGAAAAGGAAATGGCTGATTGTCAGAAAAGCCACGATCATTTTTGCGTAGAAAAAATACATGATGGCTTTTCTGCCAAACCCGATGAATTCAAACTCTCCTATGCAGCTTTTAAGCCTCTACCTCCACGTTCAGTAGTAATCCACTCTGGATGAACTGCAAAAATGTGACCAAGGAGGGGCTTGGAGGCTCTGAGAATGCTCAGGGTTAGGTCTTCCGCGGACTGAACTGTTGTGTACTTTTCTCTAAGTGAGGTGGCATCAAGGACTCAGGAAGAAGCCCCATAACCAGAGCCCCCAGTCATAGAGTGATGAAGAGCACCACCGGGCCGCCTGAGGCCTTTCTGCCGCTGTAGAGTTCTGCAGCCGTGGCTATAGGGCGAGTTAACACACGCGTGGGCTGGCACATCTGCGTCCCGGCCACTTGGATGTTGTTGGGGCATTACATGGAGACAGCTCTCAGGCTCAGGAGCCCACACACTCCCCGGAGAGAAACACAGGACCACTCAGCAGACAGACCAGGAGCGCCAGGCAGGCGGGATTGACCTTAACCCTCATGGGAGCCATGATCCGGCCATAACTCCGGGACAGTTTCTTCCTGCAGAGGGGCCCTGATTTCCTACCTGTGCTAATTCACCACCCACAGAGCAGGACACTCACAAGAAGCAGAGATTCGAACAGCAGCTTCTTTCCCGGCACCCTTTTTCTTAGCTGCCATCATATACCCAGACTTAGAATCTGACCCATACTTTTTACTCATCAGAGAAATAACGAACAACTGTTTTCACTCGATGGTTTCAGGCGGAAGCACTAAGGCGGTGTATAATAGTATATAATCATGCCACATAGTGCCTTCAATAGTTTTCGTTCCCTGTTGCGGATAGTATCCTGCATAATAGCTACTGGAGGCTCCCCAGGACTGATACCTAGATGGAAAACCCCAGAAAGACTTTGGTAGAGAACTGTAAGCTCACACTCGACACCACCAGCAGGGGGCTTCTCTCTGGCAGAGCCAAGGCAGCCCCTCTGACTTCTTCTGCCCCTTCGCTTGTGGCAATATTTATTTATTTATTTGGAAGATTTTTGCCTATTACTCTGTATTTATAGATATTTATAAAAACTGTAACCCCACCTTTTTCCTTTCTTCTGTTTAAAAGAAAAATAAAATTTATCTCAGCTTCTGTTAGCATCTCCTATTTGTTTTATTACAAATACGCACATCAGAATGTGAGAATAAAAGGGAATGTGGGGGACCAGCAGATAGCATAATGGCTATGTCACTGGACTCCCACATAGTTGAAGTGGTTCAAGTCCTGGACCCAGTGGCTTAAAACTCACCAGGTACATGTGTGTGCATGCCCAGAATCCCAAGAGGAAAACGGAGGAGAAGGGGCTGTGGCATGGCCATCCCCCCTGGGGGGTGATTTCTCACTTTCTGTCTCTCTGTGTCTTTCTATCTCTGATGAGTGCACGTGCCCCATAGCAAAAATCTCTTAAAAACTTAAAAAAAAAAAAAAGGCAATATCGAAGGGGAGCATTGGAAAAATCCAGAGAAAGTAAAATTGAGAAAGGGTATCAGAACATTTAAATACTCAGTTTTTTGCCACTCATAAGCAGATTCAATGATTTTGATGAATCTACATAGTATTAGTTTTAAAAACAAGGTAACATTGATATTAGATTTATGACCCCTCTAGCCCTAATGTGTTTTCTTTAAAGAGTTTTTTTTTTCTTTTGAAAAATACACACCCACCCAATCATATCAGTGTCTCAGTAAACCAGAGGCAATGCACTTAACATACACAGTGCTGCTCACTGCTCTGTGAGACTGAGAGCAGAACACTGAGATAATAAACCCATGTGCCTTTTCTTTCCAAAGCTGGTATTCCTAGAATCCCTTCTTTAATTTCCATCAAGTTGCCTAAACAGAATGCCATGCCAGAAAAACTCAGCCTCCCTACAGGGGAGGTTTGTATTCCAATTCATGGCATCTCAAACCAATAGTTTCTCATTACCTGACTAACCATCAGTTTCTCCCTCTTAACAGTTAATGTAAAGAAACTTAGTGTAAGGAACCAGCAGTTAGCGTAATGGCTATGTCGCTGGACTCCCACGTAGTCGACCGCGGTTCACATCCCGGACCCGGTGGCTTAAAACTCACGCCGGGCGCGTGTGCGTGCGTGCCCAAGATCCTGAAAGGAGAATGGAGGAGAAGGGATTGTGGTGTGACCATCCCCCCTGGGGGGTGATTTCTCGCTTTCTGTCTCTATGTCTCTCTCTGTCTGTCTGGCGAGCGCACACGCCCTATAGCGAAAACCTCTCCAAAAAAAAAAAAAAGAAACTTAGTGTAGAGCTCAGTGTTTGGGGTTCACGTTACCTTCGGACAAAGCCTGCCGGGGAAGTTTCCTGATCGAGTGCCTTCCAGAGTCTAAGTACTGAAGTTCTCCGTACAGATAAGAATGAGGAGTACGCATCAGGAGAGCTACACAAACCCAAGTCGAATGCTTTATTTTCTGATCACAGAAAAGACTTACAAACCAAGGCAGGTTATTATTGTTTCAAAAGTTCTCTCTAGTCTTTTTTGAGAAACAATGAGCTTGACATCTGCTTATGAGCTTCATTCCTCCATAGTATTTCAGGAATAAAAGGCAGCCGGGAAGTGATCCTAATTTTGTCTCTGGTTCACAAGACTTGAAAACCCAGAGAAGTAGAGCAGGATCAAAATAATCATTTGGGACACCACCAGTTGGCATAATGGCTATGTCACTGGTCACCCATGTAGTCGACTGCGGTTCGAGTCCTGGACCCACTGGCTTAAACTCATATCAGGTACGTGTGCAGGTGTGCCCAAGATCCCAAGAGGAGAATGGAGGAGAAGGGATTGTGATGTGGATATCCTCCCAGGGGGCTGTTTTTCGCCTTCTGTCTCTCTCTCTCTCTCTCTTTCTGGCAAGTGAATGTGCCCTATAGCAAAAACTTCTCCAAAAAAATAAAAATAAAATAATAATCAACTGACCTTCATTCCCTTATGAGAGGAGAATTAGACATAGAAGAGGAGAAAATATACAGTGTGAGTGATCCCCTTCTACAATATATATTCAGTAAAACAGCCCTCAAAATGAAAGTGAAAGAAAACTAAATGATTGCCAGGCTGAAAAGAAATAAGACCTTATAGAAACACAGGATTACAAAAATAAAGTCCATCAGAAACAGTAACTGTGAGTAGAACAAGACAGCTATATATATGTATATATGTGTGTGTGTGTATATATATATATAGAGAGAGAGAGAGAGAGAATACTTTATTCCTCAGATATTGTTAAAAGATTGCACAAGGAAGAACTCTAACACTATATTGTGGGGTTTGTAACATTCGTAGGTGTGATATACATGGCAAAATTTCCACACTGGGTGGGAGAGGTAAACAAAACAACAGGACTACAAGTTTATAAAATCATATGTGAAAGTCATAAAATACCAACTAGACCATGATAAACGAGGGTGCATCCTGTAACCATTAAAGCCACAATAACAATGATAATAATGCAAAGAGGAATGGGTAAAAAGCCAATAGAGGTATTAAAGAGAATACTAAAAAATAGTCACTTATCCCAAAGGAAGGCAGGAAAGGAGGAACGGTAGAACAAAAATTAAATGGGACAAACAGAAAAATGATAGGTTAAATCATACCAATAATTAAATAGAAGTGAACCGGGCCCGCAAGTGCTGTGGTTAAGGCAGCCGGATCCAGTATGGATGACTACACAATCTGAGTGTGGTGGCTTGAAAAACACATCACCACGTGTACTTGCATGCTCACTCAGACTCCCCACACGAGTGAGAAATGGAGAAGGAATTGCAGCATAACCTTGCCCATGAGGAGGGACTTCTCACTTTCTGTCTCTCTCTGTCCCTCTTCAGGGAGTGGATGCTCCCTATGGCAAAATGTAAATATATATGTGCATATACATACATATATATAAATACACACACACACACACATACACACACCCCAAACACTACAACTAAAATCAGGTATGGCTAAACTAGATTAAATAAAAATAATATCCAATTACATATTGTCTATAAAAGAAGCACTTGAAAAAAATAATGGAAAGATGTACAGTAAAAAACAGCATAAGATATATGAGGGAACTTTAAGAAGTTCACTAAAAAATGAAACTAAAGTATGAGCTTAGTTTGGTGCAAAAAGTTTTTAAATCCATGCATTTTTCATAATACATAATTTCCATGTACTTTTTGAAGACATCCCACCCTTCGTAAAAACTTACTACCTTAGTATCATACAAAGTAGGCTTCAAGTCAAGGAATTTTGCTATAGACAGAGGAATATTTCTAATGATAAAATGTCAAATTTATCAGGAAGACATAAAAATCATAAATGCTTATGTCCCTAAAAACAAAGCGACAAAATGCATAAAGCAGGGGCTGGCCCTGTTGTGCAGCAGTTACGCTCTGCACGAAGGAAGTGGAGTCCACATGCCGGGCCAGGTTTTGAGTCCTTATCTCAGCAGCTTGTAAAACATGCCAAACATGTGCATCAGTGCCCAAGATCCTGCTGAGATGAAGAATTGGAGGAGAAAGGATTGCAGCACGACCAGGCCACGTTGTAGGGGAGAGGAGGCGATGTTTTCTCTCTAGCTCGCTCCTGCACGTACACACACCCTCTGGCATGAAACAAAAATAAAAACATGAAGCAAAACAGACAAAAACGAAAAAAATCAGGAAGGATATAGGTATCTGAACAATACTATACACAAACATCATTTAACTGACTTTTATAGACTACTAAATCCAGCAACTATAATATATTCTCTTTCCAAGTAGAATTAAGATGTCCATTAAGATAGATCGTATGTTACACCAAAAAACAAGTCTCAAAAACTTCCAGAATATGTTCTCCTGCCACGTTGACAGAAATCAATAGCAAGATGTCTGGGAAATTCTTAAATACTTCAAATTAAACAGCACATTTGTAAATAACAGAAATATTTCTAGCTAAATGATAATGAAAACACAGTATACAAAAATCTGTAGTATGTAGCTTAAGAAATGCTAAGAAGAAACTCTGTATTTCGAAAGCTATGTTTAGGGGCCAGTAAATGGCATAGCCATTACATCATTGGACTCTCACATAGTTGACTATGGTTCGAGTCCCAGATATGGTGGCTTGAAACTCACACCGGATGTGTGTGCGTGTATGCTGAAGAACCCAGAAGGAGAATAGAGGGGAAGAGACTGCAGCATGGCCATCCCCCAGGGGGCGATTTCTAGCTTTCTGTCTCTCTGTCTCTCCAGCAAGCATACGCACCCTGTAGCAAAAATCTTTCTCTAAAATAAGGTTAAAATCAATCTAAGTTTCTTCGAAAATATAAAATACCAATATGAGATATAAAGAAGGGACTATCACTACAGATCCTTCAGAAATTAAAAAT